TTAAAAATTTATGTCCAATTTGCAAGTGTTCGAAAAATCATGTTTACGTTTTTCATGGCCAAAAATTTATAAATTTTCTTATATTAGATACTAAAACATTATGTTCAGCTTTCAAATGGCTAAATATAATTGTTAAATTTTTAAGTGTTAAAAAATGATTTAAATAGCCAAAATTTAAATTATATACCTACAGTTCTTAAAAAATTCATATTTTTGAAAAGTAAATATTTTTACAATACCGAAAATGTAGGTATGTAGATATTGTTATTTCCAGCACTCATATGTTATCTCAGCCTTGGTTTTAGTGACAATATGTGTTTAAAAATAAAATACTGTATGAATTTCTATGGCAACTTTTTAATACTTAGGCATTTCAAGAATGTTCTTGTATGAAAATTGCATTATACGGTGTTTACATGAGCCGATTTTACTGGCAACTATAAGTTGAAAGCAAAAATCGCCTAGTGTGAACAGCCTTTCAACTAATCGCTTCCAATGAATTTGAAGGCAGTCAACTTTTTATTCAACAAATCGCACTGCAATAGTAATATGAATATAATAAACAGCTTTTATTTACCTGCTCGATTCGATTGGTCGATCATTGGCTGCACAATTCTTCGTCTCGCGTTGATAAACCTGAAATGAATAAAAGAAAAAAAGAAAATTAGAGATTAGAGAATTAGAGACGAGCACCCTAGCAGGCCGCGCGTCTGGGCCTGTAAAGCAACCGAATTTTCCGAAGCGAATGAAATTATGGAGCTTATTCAGCTTGGTAACGAAGGGTTACACACCATTGACTGCAGGATAACCCGTTTTGGTGAGGTCAACGAGAGGTAGCGTTACGTCAGACTCGTCAATAGCGATGCTCCCCTCGAGAGCCGCAATGTTTTCGGCTTTGTATCGGGATTTATTGATATACATACATATATCGATATATTTTGGGTACATTTCGAAATTTTTTCCTGGGAATTTCCAGGTTCAACGGTACTTCTTTATCTTATATTTACATTTTATGTCGGCACATGTGTCATTATGGCAAAAAGTAATCCTACCCTTCATAGTCCATAAATCCTATTGAATAAGAATCGTCTATATTCATCCTATATCGAATAACATGAATTAAAAACTTACTTCCAAATATGAATTTTCGAAAAGGCCGCCAGCAAATGCAATACATTTTTTCAAATGAGCAAAAAAAAAATTGAAACCCAACATAATAACTCAGACTACTTCCTTTGCCTGGCTTGCTGAAGCCGCCTACCCTACTTTGCGCGGCGGCTTGTAAGCTGCATACCACCACTCACCAACTACCGCTCGATGAATTGACGTAGAAAACAATAAAAAATAATTACTTTAAAGTTATGGCGGTGTTTTACAACTAAATTGGCAAACGTTTGTACGTAGCAATAACCGCGGCAGCAGCAGCAACAGCGACATCTCTACTAACAACAATAATCACAAAAACTTGTGCAAAGTACAAATAAAGCCGACATTGATGAAATATTGCATTGTGAGAATTTATTAAAATTAAAAAGTGCCGCAGCTTGAAAACCCTCAACAAACGCACGCATAAATGCACGCGTAAAAAAGCAAGCATTGCACAGTCGCCACGCATTATTTTATAAATAATTTATGAAATCCGCACAATCCACGCAATTCACAAGCCAAATCAGCGGAATGATTGCAAAACTGATCAATTGTTGTTAACGCTGCGCTGGCTTAGGCTTTGGCTTTGGCTTAAAGGCTGAGAATGGGTTAAGTGCGCGCGAAAAGCGGCACAAAGAAATCCGCTACAGTTTTTTTGTCATTATTATTATTAGTTTTTTTCCTTAGCAAAAACAGCGTTATACAGTATGTGTGTTTGTGACTTTATTTTTGTTTGTTTAGCAGTAGCCATCAACACCGCCGCCGCCGCAATCCCAAGCTGGAGTAACTTAACGGAGCAGTCATTGGTCAGAGGTTGAAGGCAGGGACGGAGGCTGCATCAGCAGAAACTTTTGTTATGATTATTGGTAATAAATACAGGAAGAAATAATAAGGTACGCCATAAGTATGGCAAAAGCAGCATTGCTTATTATCAAACAAAAACAAAAGCAACTACAAGTGTAAGTAGGAGCTACGAAAAATATGTATCTTCCGCCAATGATGATGTGAATGCCGATGAGTTGAGCCAGCCAACCAACCAGCAGATTATACGTAAAATCATGATAAAAGAGAAAAAGCCGCCACTTGTGATTATTTTCTGGGGACATTCGCCAAAGTCCAAGCGAACAGGTCAACAGACCGGGCGACATACAGGTTGCAAGAACGCCGACCGACTTACAACCATACGAGTGGTGCACATATCTAAAAAAAAACAGTGTGCAAACCTTACTGAGGGAGACACATTTGGCACACACACACACAAAAGTCGATGGCTTTTTAGCTTTTTGCGTGTGCTTTAGCTGCGGTTACCCCAAAGGCCGCAAAGCCAAACAGATGCACAGAAAAAAAACGTTCGTTATCTGCTCAGGACCTTATTGAAACGAAACGCAAAAAACTCGGACTTAGCTGACCACTAGATTGACTGGGCCTTCTGGCTAGTTGTATTCAGACTGAGTGACGCACAAAAACACTGACCACATGACTGATGCATAACTCTTATTTGTCGGTCAGAGCGACTGATTTCTTGGCAACCACAGGATTTTTGGCATTATTTCGGTAGATGCGATATAATTGCAAAAAAAAATATTATTAAGCCAACTATAATCTGAGCAGTGAAAAAGCTCACACACACTCCAACTTCGTTTGTGGCAGCTCTACGAGTATATATAAAAAAAAAATCGAAATTCAAAGCCGCCTGCCAGCCGGGTATTGGGACAATACTTTTATTACAGCATGCTTGCTTAGTAGTGTTTTTCCTTTTTTTTATTTCTTTTGCTTTCTTTCTATTTCCTGCATTGTGTGAATTTATCAATTTTTTACGGCTGCGTGCAAATCGAGGTTAATGCACTGATGCGATTTTGATGCGCTCATTTTTGCGGCAGTGCGCTTTGTAGCACAACTAAAACGATTTTTTTTTCTTATCTCTTTGCATTTTCTATTAGAGTATTTCATGCTGTGTTTGGTTTTTGCTGGCATAAGCCGAAGCATTGCCAAAATCTGCTTTGGATTAACTAGTCGCCATACTCGTTTTTTATTCATGTTTTGCTTAAAAGCGAATTTGATGCAACGCCTGTAAATCGTTTATCAAAACTAAAGAGAATTTGAGTGGATGCTGAAATGGACAGTACACTAACAGCTTAGGAGTTATGAGAAGGAATTCTGAAAGTAATGCCCTTGCATACATGCATACAGCTATGTTCATGAAAACTGTTCCAAAAGGTTATATTAGGCAATAATGCCGGCGAAAAACTTAAGGTCCAAGTATTAATTTTTATTTTGTCAAAATAAACCAGCGTGGCTGATAAAATTATGTTCTGAAGGCTGACAAGGAAGAACGCCATATTTCAGAATTTGGTTGAAGAACCCCTCTTTTACATAGATATTGATTGAAATTCGCTCTATCTCACAAAACATTTCAAGAACGTCCTATCTCAGAATTTGGTTTAAAAGCGCCCTATCTCAACTGAAAATATATTGAAAATATGTTGAGATAGGGCGCTTTTGAATCGACAGCTGAGATAGGGCATATTTGAAGCGATTTATGAAATACGTTGTTCTTGAAAAGTTGTCTGCGATTGGGCGTTATCGAACTGGCTGCCGAGATAGCTCCTTCTTCCACTTAGGTGTCGATATATGCTCCCAGTATGGCTGGAGCTTCTATAGCACTCATTATAGGTGATGCCCAACCTTCCCGCTGGAGCCAGAGCCCAGTAAAAATCGCTACTATTCCCGCTACATCAGGTCTGGGGTTTGCCATCAGGCTGTGCCTTCTTTTGCGATTTGCATAAGGATGATTGCGCAAAACTACAATATTTTGAAATGCGTTAACAAGAAAGAGACAAAAAGGAAAAAACATGCCCTTTTACGGAGTTGAGTGTAACATCGAATATATTCTGCAGCGCGAAAGGGCAACATTTTTGGAAGAAATCAGGAAAGATACAGAAAAAATTAGAAAACTAAGGATTACAACTTTGATAGAAAATAGCGTTATTTAGGGCATTCACGGACATATTCCATGTTCCGAAATCCCGGGATTACAGCTCCGGGATTCCGGTATATTTAATGATTTATATACAGAGTGCAAGTGATGTTGAAAACGAAAAAAATTATTCACGTGCATTTGACATGAAAAACGAGAAATACGGAACACCAAAATTTGGCTTCAAAGTGAAGCTGTTTAATTTGCCCTCGAAAGTTAATTTCAGAACCTGCCTGAATAATTACACTTGTTCAAATATTTTTCGCAGGGATTGTGTAAAAACGAAAAATCTGACAGCAATTGAAAACACAAGAAACTTTTACAGTGCGGCAGTGTTGCTCTTCATTTTACTTTGTTGGCTTGGTTTAGTGGAAATAGGATAGACCATCGATAGTATCGAATACAAATTTGATATTAAGATTTATTTAAAAACAACTTTGAAAGTGACGTTGGAATACGAATGTATGTAGCGTGCTGCAAACATTTTCTTAAATGTCTTACAGTTTAGTGAGAAGTATAGTTATTGAAAATTTGAAATCAATTGAAAATTCAAAAAAAAACCCTTTGGCTATTCTTGAATTTAAAATTTTTGCAGTTTTAGAGTTATCCTTCTGTCGTAAGGCGTTCATTAAGTAAATAAAAATTTTAGCAGTGATGTTTATTTACCCAGTATTATTAAATGGTGACAGGCAACTTTGAAATAGTTGGTATAAGTTAATTTGGTATTTTAAAAGGTGCAAATTTTTCCGTATTTTTCGAAGATTTTCATGATTTTTTTAGTACCTCTTTATAAAAGCAGTAAAAAACAATTAGTTCAACTTGTATGTACATATAAGAGAAACTAATGAAAAATAGGAACAAAAGTTGAAGAAATATTGAATCACATGCCTTTTGGACTATCGATAGTGGCAAAAAACAATCGATCTTGGCATACTTCGCCGATAAGGCAAATAAAAGATGGTCGGAAGAACCTACGTGTGGTACGACTCGACAAATCTGGCCCAGCCTCGATAAGAAAATATTTGACTCACTCATTCAGTTAGAACGCCCTCTACTAAGGCTGATGGCCGTAATTTTTACGAGTCACTGCTTAATGGGTAGACGCTATCTGAAACTTACCACCTTGATCTACTTCTAGGCGAACGGACAGGTTCTCTACAAGCTTTGTATTTTTAAAGGAATATTCTACTTCTCTTAACTTTTACTCTCAATTAAAATATCTCTTGCAATTTAAAAAATAATATCGCATTTAATTAAGAAGCACTTCCATTATTATACTTTTATTAAAACGACCATTAAATTGTGTTATACATTTCCTTGCACACAAAATTTCTACCGACGCGCTCCAAAATCGCTTTCCACACCATTACAACCAGACATAAATCATTTAAATTAGCATATCGAATGTGCAAACAACCCTTAATTGTAGGCGTACAACAAAAACAAAACAGCTCCATAAACAACTATATACATACAAGGAGCAGCTGAACAATAACAACATAGCACAGCACAA